CCCCCCCTCTCGTCCAGGAGACCGCCTTGGATCCGTCTATGTGTTATATAACCACAGGTGCGAATTTTAGCAAGGAAATTGTTGTATTGAAAATACTGAGGCTGCTCGAGCGTCAGTGTGAGTACCTTGCTACTGGTATGCTTCTGCACGCTGAACGCACCTACGCCAACCTCTCCAACCCTGGGCTGGCTCCGTCAGATGAGCGACGTGCAGGATATCGTTGTGATTATGCGAGAAAATCAAATTTGTTCAATTGCTTATCAGTGTGAACTCAGTGTGTTCCCCTAACTATGTCTGGCGAATGCATGCCCGAAATTTCACTTCTCAGCATTTAGTGAGTAAATGAAAAGGTGGTCTCAGTTTAAAAGTTCCCTAAAAAATTGCTCAAAAAAAATTTTGTGAATTCTTAAAATAATTTTGGCTTTCTAATTATCACTCAGCAGTGATCCTTGCAATAATTACCAACCGCTTTGGCCTGACGCGGCACTGAAGCGTTCCATTTCTTGTGCTACCTTTTGCCCCAGAAGCTGACATTCATCATCAGTAACTTCCGCAACTCCTTCGGCAACTTCAGTGAGGGTATTAAAGTAAGATTCTCGCATGATATCACCCAAGTCCACTTTTAAATCTTCTTCCAGCGGCACATAAGAAGCATTGTCGGCTGTTGTGAATTGCAGGAGAAGACTTAGCAAAAGGCAGCAGTTGTGTATCATAACAGTTGTAGTTGAACACGCTAAACTTGGAAATTTAGGATTTCAGAAACAGGTATATATCAGTCATCACAGATGTTTTGTTTTGTCCCTGCCCAGATTTTTTGCTCTTCGAAATCTCATGAGTATCAAGACCGTCCAAGCAATCGATGCACGCATATGAATCTTGCAAAAAATGCCACGAAGGTTAAGTCAGTACTATGTTAGAAAATGACTTTTGGTTAGCATGCATAACCAATAAAAAATAATTGGCCAACGCACGGCTGTCCGTGCGAAGATGCGTTTTTTTGCATAGTTCCCCGTTTTTGTTGCTACCGGCATCAGTTTTTTCGACAAATCCTTCTAGCTAAACAAGTTAAGATTGGCCGCCAAAACTGGCAAGAAACACCTCCTTAAATTTCAGCTTTCTATCTTTCCGGGCTCCTGAGTTAGCAACTTACTGGAAAAAATTTTTCACGAGCCCGCACGCGGGTACCATGCATACCTGATGTTTGGGTTTGAGCTCTTTGAGACTTACTTGGACGGGGAACATCTTCCTAAAACTACAGTCTTTTAGCTTTTCAGGTTCTCGA